CTTATTCTGGTTTTTTTTTTCAATCGACTAAAAGAGGTAAGTCATTTATGAATTATTATGTCTCAAGTTTCTTTAATTAATATATATTTAATCGTGATAATATAGAAGAAAGACAACAGTAGATAACAAAGCTATCAGTTAAATAAACAGAAAATTTGATCACGTACATTCTTTACTATGCCTGTCTTTGTAATTATTGCGATTTAGATTTCAATTAACATAATCTATTATAACGGAAAAGTTAGGAATTTCGTTGCCACAAATAACGTAAAACCTGTTCTTAATTATTTTCTAATGATAAAGATATGGTTCTGAAGTTTACAGTAGCTGTATCAGTTTTCAAACGGGTAATCAAATTGTTGACGCTGATTATATATTTGAAAACGATATTGGTTAATTTATCAATAACCCTGTTTTAGTAATATTTATTTAACCTTCCAACTGTTGTTTTGATTTATGAGTCACATATGACATGTGTAGAGACGAACATCAGCTCAATTAATATATAATCGTGATATCCTGTTGAGAATTTGTTTGATAAACTTATTTTTAAAGATAACCGTTTTTACACTGTAAAAGATCTTTTCGTATTCAGAACATTTTGTTTTAATAGATATAAACGTCACTAAATACTTATGAAAACTTATGGACCTATATGACGTCGATATTTAAACTTTAAGGATTGCACACAATGTTGAAGCTTTTCCCAGATGGTAAACGACGTCATCACACTTAATAAGTTAGGTTAATACTGATTACTAAAGCATTGCGTATTCATCTGTTGTACAACGTTGTAACTTGCGTTGTAACTTGCTTTCAGTGACCTAAGTACATCTTGTTTAGTAACTGAGGTATGTTTAAGGCTTGTATACCCTTGTATATACTTAGTGTGTCGATTCCTAATCAGAAGTTTATAATGCACACATGGAAACCCTTAACAGTGCAAATACAAAAACGATGATCACTTACTTAAACAAGGGTCCGATTTAAAACAACATTGTATATAATCTGTTATAGAGTAAGGTCAAAATATGCTCGCAACTACATGATGCTACTTAAGGTAACTACAGCTGTTGATAAAATACTCCAGTTCAATTAATGTATGAAGCTGATGTATAAGTTATACTATTTATTCAAAATCCTGTTACGACAATTAGATGTTTTCTAATACATGAATATAGTTAACCAGTAAAACTACTTCACTTCGAATTATACTTTTGTGCTCATGTTCCTCACATAATCTCATGAAAAAGTTTTTTCCATGCATTATTGAGAGTTAGTTATGCATAGGTTTTATTCTTTAAAATCTATATATGTGTGGTGTATATTTAAAATATAACTGAACATGTAAGAGACAATAAGCGTATATAAATGAAGAAACAAATAATATCACTTTCAAATTTTGTTTCTGTTTTTATTTCATTTTTATTTGTTTGTTGGTGTTGTTAAAAGTTAAGGAATATTTAGTTTCCACATGAAATTGGAAACAAATCACGTGGGTTAAGAATTCAGTATTAGGAAATATAAGTGCATGCTACTTTATTTTTCTTGAAAACTTTTAGCTCACAATAAACATTATCCTTAAAAGAAATATATAATGAACGTCCATATTTCGCATACTAGATTATCAGAACGAATTCGTAAATTCGTTAAACTGATGACCCTTTTCCAAATAATAAGGGAGTAATGTAGCTTTTATATATTTTTCAATATTTCAAAGTCGATATTCGTAATTTACGTCTTTGGATTTCCGCTGTTTTCGCAATGTATTTCAAAATTATCAGTAAAAAAGTTTTTGCTAAAGAATAATTGAAATCAGTCGAAATATACATACATATATATATATATATATATATATATATATACATGTCATAAACTTCAATGAGGGGAGGAAGGGCCATTTTTTTCGGGACGTTGGGAGTGGGCCTTTATTGTCTGCGAAAATTAGGGATTTGCACTTATCAGTATTCGAGAATTAATGATTATTTTTCGGGATCCGGGAAACAATGCTATATTTTTATCGGGAATTCAGGAATCAGCGTTCATTTTTCCGGGAAGAGGAGACGCCATTCCTCCTATCCCCCTTTTTTCTTCAGTGTGACAGCAAAATGACAATAGAATGACATAGACAGAATAGTTTTCGCTTCCAAAAACTGACAAATCAAGAATATTTGTTTGTTAATTCCATTGTTTTTATATTTTCCATAGGAACATGTATGCCCAGGATGTTTTAAAATATACAACAGTGAATAAAACACCACATTTGAACTAGAATGAAAATCCAGTATACGATTTTGTGTTTTTTAACCAGCGTCATCACTTTGGAAGGTACACGTCTTATATGAGGATCAATATTTGATTTGATATTTGGTGTTTTAACGACACTTTTCAGCACCGCTTTTGGGCTATTTCGTGTCGGCCAGTTTTTATTGGTGGAGGAAGCCGGAGTGCCGGAGAAGACCACCGACCTTCGATAGGAATGAGGATCAAGAAGGGGAATCTGCATTTTTCTATATTCTTGGGTTGTTGTTTTTTTCTCAATCATGTATTTCATATATCTTTGTCTTATATTTTATACTATATTTTCTCCATGTTGTCTTATTCTGCATTTTCGCCCATTCTTCTTTCTTTTTAACTCAATCCTGACTCTCTTATATTTATTTTAAAAATTAATATTAAATGTTATACACACCAACTTATGTTACTTCATTTAAAGATACAAATAAGCAGAAAAAAAGAAAAAGATTTATAAATACTATGTTGTAAATTCAATGGATATGTTACACAACTTTTGTGTTGTTTTTTTTTATTATTATTATTAATATTATTTTAGAGCATCATGATTAAAATAAGGAATTGGTCTCATTCGTCAATAACGTTTTGAATTGCCCGTTAAAACTTATATATAACATGTAAAAAAAAGGAGCGAACGCAAAACTTATTATTTTACATTAAAATTGTATATTCAGACTATCTGAATTATTTGAACCATGTTAGAAGATATTTTGTGTACACACTTTACAAAAAAACGGTAAAAAAAATAATGTTCCTTAGCGTCTTCCTCACGTGCAATTTCATCTCATTCATCTCATTCTATCTGTTACACAAAGGATGTATATTTTCTGTCTACAAACTTCATTCATAATAAAATACCGAAGGAACATAAATAAATATCTACCATGTCAATGATAAAAAAAAACATGTAAACCATAAGCGATGTGTTAAATGTGTGCTCATGGAGTCCATTTCTAGTTCAGGAAGTCGAATTAAATACCATTAAGAGTACGAAACAAATAAAAACGAATTATTATTTACAAATAAAATAGCTGTTTTTCTTTTTTCCTTATTTTTAAAAGCTCTACTGGACAATGTTGCTCTAAATAAAGACACAAAGCAGAGTTCAATTTATGAGGAGGGATATTCTTATCTCGCCAACGATGGAAACAGAAGTCAAAATCACTTGCAATTGGAAGTTGGTGGACAATTATGTGCCCATTTAGGTATCAAGAAAGCAAGTTATTGGTGGGCGGTTGACCTGGGAGAGGAGTATGATATTAGAAATATAAATATATTTTATAGAACAGACTGTTGTGGTATGTATTCGTCAAAACATGAGCATAACATATACTTATGTTCTTGCAGTTGCGGAACAAATTTTCAGTCCTGCTTTTAACATGTTTAAGACAGGTAGACATCGCCTGTGTAGGAAGGGTACTCTTAAAATCAATAACTCGTATAATGACAGTTTCACATATAGCCTTTCAATCGAATTTTGATGAGAAATCCCGAGTATTCTGAAGTCAATTTCATATCTTGTAATTAAGTCAAGGTAATTTTAGCAAGTATGTGGTAATTTTTCTACGGAATCGTCTGAGTACCATCAAACTCTACTTATAAACAGAAAAAAATATACGAAAATTATTTCGCTAGGAAAAAATCAATTATCTTATATTGAACACCGAAAACAATGTAAGTTACTGTGAACCACATAATTCTTGCGACTGATTTGATTTTGCGATTAGGAAATTAACGCGAATATAAGTAGTCGCAAAAATTTTAAATTAATGTCTTCCGGTAATGAAAAAGATGACGATTATTAGAAAATCGAGAATATAAATCGCCGCGAAGTCTACTGGTAATGGCTAAACGCGAAATAAAGTATCCGCGAAAATAGTTGGTTTACAGTATCATATCGTATCAACTTTACTAATAACTATTTCTATGCATCTCAATAAATACTAAATACTATATATAGCCGATAGCCCAGCAATACTGGTGGAACTCATATTTTATTAATTTAAATATAATTGATAAACACAATATACATAAAGCATAAGTATCAATGCACAATAAATTCACTTTCATTAAAGAGTTCAATAGAATAATTAGTAAATTGTGTTCAAAAATATTTTGCTCTGTCATCAACGATCCCGCCGGCCAGGAAAAACCAACAAAAACGAGTCACCTCGGTCAAACTCCATTTAAACTGCAGTCAAAAGACTACATTTTAAATAAAGTGGAAAATGTGGGAAACCTGTGTCCAAACCCAAATGCTCGGAAGACCGTCTCGAGAGTTATACTTGGACTGTATATAAAGTAAATATACTATCTATATGTAATAAGTAATAATTTAAGTTACTCTTTAGTAAAATATCTAATTCCTACTAAATACAAATTAGAATAACAATACAATTGAAAATGAACTTTATTTCACTGTTGTCAAGTCTGATGCTTGGCTAGAAGTGACCAACAAGGGAAAATATTCCCGCTAAATATCACGTGATATGTATATATACGTGTACATACGAAGTACCCGTATCAATAGTATTCACTAGTACCGTTATTACAGTAATTTCCCACTATACTATCGAACCGTTGGAAATTATAAGTATCAACTTTACTAATAACTATTTCTAGGCATCTCAATAAATACTAAATACTATATATAGCCGATAGCCCAGCAATACTAGAACCACAAAGAAAGGGCGGGTAAGTACAGTTTACAACCCAAATATTTGTGAAACTGACATTCTCTTTTCAAATGTATCATCTATGTACCCGTCCTTACTTGTGTCGGACTTCCACCTCCCGTGTCTCTTAATGCACCTTTCGTTCACATCAGACTGGGCAGCAGTGGTAGCACCGCCTGCACGAAGAGAATGTAAACCTAGATTAAGATTAGGTGCGACAATTTTTATCCTTTTTACAATATTTTCTTTAGCTGATGTATAACTCATCTTCTTATTCTTATGTATCAATTTAGCTATACCCCTAGATCTAAATATAGGTCTAAAAACAAATAAATCAGATTTCTCATCTAAATTAGCTAACTGAATATATCTATTGTAAATATTGAATGGACAAGCTAAAGTGCTACCTTTTGAAATCAAAATTTTATTACCCTGTCGGTATTGATCAGTTTTACTACGTAAAATCTGAATCTCTAAATAGTCATCGAAAACTGTGATATCTTTACATCTTAAAGAGCTAAGCTCATCGTAACGCAAAAACCCTGAATAACCTATCAAAATCATGGTCAAATCGCGAACGATCAATAAATCTTCTGATCTTTCGTACAATGAACATAAATCAATAAGGATAGTATTGTTAATTGGATCCTTTTTGACTACTGGTCTACCGTTCAAACGTTTTGCAGATTCAGTCAGTGATTTAACATATGAATTGTTAGTAGGATCATTGAAACCATTAAGCTCATGGGCCCATTTAAAAGAATATACAGCGGAATCTATAACACTGGGAGAACAATGTTTGTCAATAAGATATGTCAAATAAAGTGCAACATGAACTGGGTTAGCAGGTAATTCTGACATTTTGTGTTCATTTATAAATGTTTTCCATCGTTTAAAACCATAAAAGTACTTTTTACTGGTATTCTCGGCTTTGGATTCCACAATAAAGGCTGACATCTTGTTGGCTAAATTCCTAAGTTTGTTGTCCGGGGATACACCACTGTTGTCTATGGCGGCCTGGACATTTTGTTCCAATCTTAAACCTGCAAATAATATTGATTACATTAAAATTCTAGTTTGATTGCTAACATATGAAATCTCAGAATTCGTTCACCAAATACGCCATTTTTACCACTACCTTTAACGACTGAGTGCTCTTTTGGTAAAAACTTTGTACCTTTAATACATTTGGTGAGATCATTAGATGTGAATAGCAACGGCCAGAATGGAGCTGATTTCCATTTTGGTATAACAAGCGTGCTGTTGGCTCTGTCGTTTTCTACTTTGCGTATGACCATGGATATTAGTGATGGTGGTGGAACTAACCAATTTGTTTCTGTGTTCCAGTTTTGACTAAATGCATCAACTGCTTCCGTACCGGGATACCATATTTTAGAGTTAAATCGTTCACACTGTGTATTATAGTGTGTGGCGAATCTGTGTATTGTATATGGACCCCATAGGCTATTAATTTCATCAAATATATCAGAATGAATAGCCAAATCATCGTGATCAGTGTGTCTACTGAGCGTGTCTGCATGTGTGTTTTTCTCTCTTGGAACCCATTGTGTAATTATGTTTATATTGCTACTTACACAAGTTTGTTTAATGTCAATAGCTATATCTTGTAATTTTTGTTTTCTACTTCCTACTCTCAGTATGTGAGGTACGTTTTGATTGTCTGTATTAATTTTGACGGTTTTGTCACTAAATGTACTATCAAAAGTTTGTACAAACCTATTGACGCATTCTAATTCGCGCCATGTGGAACTCTCGTTCCTTTCTCGTTCTGTCCAGTTACCAGACATTTCCTTGCAAAAAAGTTTTGCATTCAAATCTGTGGTTAAAATACCAACAAAGCCTACATCTGAGGCGTCACAAAACATTTCTATATCAACAATAGCATGCTTATCGACTTTACGAATGTCGACTCCAGCATTATTGAGCTTTTGCAATGAAATAGACCAAAAATGTATTTCATTAATTGCTTTTGTACAAATCTTGACTGGTGCATCCCAACTTGCTCTACTCATGATACAATCATAAAGGTATCTACTGTTCAATCTGACTAAGTCACCGATGACTATCTGCATAGATATCAACTGACCTACAATGCTAGCTATAAATCTAGATCCAAAAAGTTCTACCCTTCGTTTGTTTCTTCTATTAAAGATCTAATCTTTTTCTCAGTTTTCATAACTCTATCTTCATTAACAAATATTTTACCTATATTTGTATCCCACGTATACCCTAGCCATTTCAATTTCTGGCTTGGTAACCAAAAACACTTCTCATGTGCAATCAAAAATCCCAATTGTTCTAGTTTATTTTTAACCTTTTGACTGCTCTCAATGCATTTTTCAAAATTACTATCTCCACCCAAACCGTCGTCAAGAAACATTATTATCCTTTTGCCTTCTGATCGCAAATGCTTAACTACTTCTCTAAGTACTTTTGTAAATATGTAACCTGCAGTTGAAATGCCAAAAGGAAGAACATTGAATACGAAATATCTCGTATTTCCATCAAAATTCCAAGCGAAACCTAAAAAGTCCTGTGTATATCCGAGATTTCCAAATGATGGTAAGCAGATCTAATATCAAAACTAAATAAATAATCTCCTTTTTGAAAGAGATCTCTTGCTATCTTAGTATCCTCGTACTTATACCTAAATTTAAACAGATGTGGATTCAAATGCCTACAATCTAGTACTAGTCTTGGTTTATTTTTATTAAATGCTACTGTAAGTGGATTCACTACAGTTGGTTTAGAATAAATCTCAGAAATGCACCTTTTTTGAAGAAGTTTGTCAATCTCTTCAGCAACGAATTTTGCATTGTTTAAAGATGATCTGTTATTTTTTAAATGTATAACCTCTGGTTCCGTTTTTAACGGTAACTTATAACCGTTTTCAATAACATCAATAATATGTGTACTAGTAGTAATAGCTTTCCATTCATGTAATTTTGACCTCAATTTACCTACTGGCGAGACAGGTATATCAACTTCTAGTAAAAAGTGATCACCAGTGACACTTGGTTTCGATTGAGTAATTTCTATCGTATGTTTATCTTCTGATTTGTTTACATTTGTACTGGATGAATTTTCAGCTTGACCAATATAATATTCTTTCATATTATTATACAAATTAGTACATTCAAAATTTTTAAATACACTTATCTTGTCTTTCTTTTCAGGACAATCATTCGCCCAGTGGCCTTTATTGCCACAATTAAAACATCTCCCTGTTCTCCAGGTAGGGGGTGGATCTCTCTCTTTGGTGGAATAAGGCACTTTTCTGATTGTCTTCGACTTTTTCAGCTTGTCTGACTTGCTCCTACGTTCAGCTCTATTTTGCGCTCTTATCATCTTCTTTTCATCTTCGGAGTCATCGGCAATTGGATTAGTTGTGTACTCCTTCACGACTTTCCACCCCAATTCGGATGAATCGGCAAGTTTAATGAGTTTCTGTCTGTCTCTTACAATTGCCATACCTTCAACAATCTTGTCTCTTGCTTGATGAATGGATTCTACGGATAAATCTGGTACATCTAACTTTGATTTTGCCTCCGTCAACTTCGTCAGGACTTTAACCTCATGTTTGTACTGGTTTTCGTTCCCCTTCCGTTGGAAAGTATAGTTCTCCGACAAAGTCTTTTCAATCTTGGACATCTGGGATTGACTGCTATCTCGCTGAGACTGTTGAATATTTCCCTGGAATGTGGATAGTCTGTTATCTATCAAGGCGGTGATTTGGTTAAGGGTATCTTGTTGTGAAGCAGATACTGCATTTTGTACTTCTTGGACAATTACTTGCTTAACGGAATTATCTAAACCGGGGTCCGTCATATTTCACTGTTGTCCAGTCTGATGCTTGGCTAGAAGTGACCAACAAGGGAAAATATCCCGCTAAATATCAATATCACGTGATATGTATATATACGTGTACATACGAAGTACCCGTATCAATAGTATTCACTAGTACCGTTATTACAGTAATTTCCCACTATACTATCGAACCGTTGGAAATTATAATTATAACAAAATAAGCGGATTTGAAAGACAAAGACAAATACATATTTAGTACAGACATATTATTTAATATCTTATATATGTTTTAATATTATTAAAACGCAATCAATAGCCGATACTAAAAATTCTGTCTGTGGTTTCAATATGCTTGTAATTCCCGACGACTAAGTAAGTCAAAAAGGATCTGAATTTTGTTCATATTGTCTCTATTCATTACTATACAATAAAAAAAAACCGATACATGTCTTAGTTCTGATGTCGTTGTTTTTATATGACGTATGTTTCACATACACATAGTATTTCATCGAATCCATGCTTGATGAGAAGACCAAAGGCACATTCAAACTCATAAGACGAAAATAAACTGACAATGCCACGGAAAAAAAGAAATAGACCAAAAGACAAACAACAGCGTACAAAACACAACATAGAAAACTAAAGTTTGAGCAACAAGAACCCTACCAAAAACCGGTAGTTATCTCAGGTGCATTGGAAAGGTAAGCAGATTCTCAATATGCACAAAATGTTGGTTGATTTCATTTTACTTCCCGATTAATAGTATTGATTTAGGTAATACGGCAAGTGGAAATATGAAAAGCAATAATAATTTTAAATAATTTTTAAATGCATTGGTTTTAATACAACATGTACAAAAGGTTGCAATGTGGCTCATGTGACTATGAAAAAAATATCATGCATGTTTTAAAGAAATAACAATAATATTTATATCATACCACTTATTGTTTTAGGCCCTCGTTTCACTGACATCTATATTTATGTTTATAACCCTGATATTGCAACATGGTCAAAATTTGACAAAGGACCAAGTCAACTTTGTTTCTTTCACAAGGGACAAGCTCCAAGTATACTAAGCGTAGCTTGCAATTTTGTCCATGGAAGATATGTTAAGATATTCAAGTTTTATGGTCCTGACATGCCGTCGGGTTATGATTCTCTAACTCTTTGCGAAGTGGAAATATTTGTTGGCCCTAGTTCAGTTCAAGGTAAGCTACATTTAATGGTAAAAAACATTCTGTAAAATGATCGCCATAAGCTTAAAACATTTATAATCATCAATGAATTCGCATTGTTAAAGAGAGGCGAAAGATACCAAAGGGACATTCACACTCATAAGTCGAAAATAAACTGACAACGCTACGGCAAAAAAAAAAGACAAAAAGGCAAACAACAGTACACAAACTTTAGTTTAAAAATAATAATATCGTCTTATATGTTATCAACAACTAGTTATATACATTTAAAAGGATGATAAAAAGATATTGCATAGAAAAAGACATTTGCGAGCATTCCGCTTAAATTTACGATTCAGTGTTTGCTCATTACAAAGGGTTTGAACAGGGTTTACATCAAATACAGAATATTGAGAAAAAAGGAAGTATAAAAAGGTGGACTACTGAATAAAGAATATAGAATAATTGGGTACTAAAAAGGACAAATAGTGACAAATGGGTCGTAATAGAAAATAAAATAGTGATGAATGGCCTTTAAATTTGAAAATTACCTAAATTAAGATAATCCCGTACTGTCACTCGTACTGCAAAACTTGTGTTTCATATTAATATATTTTTTCATCTGACACTATGACATATCTAACATGTCAAAATTGACTTTTCAAAAATCTAATATGAGCAACAGTCCTGCCCCAAAATTGGTTATAAATACTCGCATCAACATTATCAACATTTTTTGCGTTAAACATTTTGTTACAAAACCCCTTGTTAAGTAAAGTTTCTACTCATATCTCGATAATTATTTATGTAGCATACTATGCATGATGTCAGTTTATTTTCGACGGTACATTTCAAGGTATGGCACTCAGTAACGTTGCTCCCGGAGTAGTGTAATTTAAGGATAGTTTGGCATATGAATGAACGTATATCGTTTTGGCATTTCTTTATTTATTTTCTATGTAAACTGTAAGAATACCTATAAGTTAAAGATGCGATTATATTTTTTATACAAGGAACTTATTGTAAGCAGACAAGCAAAGAACCCGTTTTGAATCTTGAAAACCATGTTAAGACTGAGACAATCGCAGAGTGTGCAATGTTCTGTAAACAAATGTACAGCTGTCTTGGGTTCAACAGGGCAGCGAACGGTACCTGTTCTCTTTTCCAAACCAGTAAGCAAGTTGCAAATGTCACCAGTAACATTGAATACTTTGAAAAGTGTTGAATTAGAACTTAGAGTAAAGATTGATTTTGGCCAACAAAACAGTTATACTGTATAAATGTTTCAAAAACCTCACTCTGCTTTTGAATGGCGTTTGACAATTGCATTGGATGGAGGTACAGACAGGTATATAGATTTCTCAAGGACATTTATTCGTTATAACACAAAATGAACTTAAAATATCTGTCAATTTCTCCCTAACCAGTTTACCCTTATTACTAATTATGATGTGGACCGGTCATTGTTATTGAATCTTACGCAATTTGATTGAATGAAGTTATTATTAGTTTACCTTCAAACTGTTTAATTTTTTCATACATGTATTTTGATTAAATCAGAACGTGCATGAATGTGTACAATAACTTAAATGACCTTCAAACTGGACACTGGTCGAGTCCATATCATTTTTTATCAATGAAACTTAAGGTATGATTGGTGAGAATTGCCACTTCTTATATTTTCACAAAATTTTCCACAGATACAGTAGATAAATGGTTTCTTAATAGCTTATTCCTGAGAAAAAAGAGAACATTTACAGATGAGACGTGCTAATCCATTAAACAAGTCATTTTTCGAAGAGAAGTGCCGAAATGCATTTTACGCACCGCTACGCCAGGTAAAATTATTGTTTATCTTAACAAAAAAAAGACATTTTTCAGTCTCGTTATAATCTTATAATTACAATTAATCCCAAACAAAAGTAGTCAGTAAATAAAGTCAAAATATGTCCGATCTGCCTATTTTAGGACATCAAAATTCAATACGATCGTTATAAGGTCAATTTTGTCTACCTCACAAAATCTTGTTA